AGGGGGGGTGGGGGGTGGGGGAGAGAGAGATCTTAACAGTGGGAGGTTGGTCACCTAACTAATCTACAAATGCAGCAAGGGATAACCAATATTTAACCTCCGATGAAAATAGTAGAACAAAGGGAATTGATTTTAGGTATTTCCCCACGATGGTAAATTATGAGATGGATGACCTCTCTAGCTTTTCTTTTGGTGATTCCTAATTTTCTCTCTTCAATTTTTTGACATTTATTGATGATATAAAATTCAATTGTGATAGCCATTTCTTGAAGCTTTAAGTGAAGTTTTTAACGTTGTGTGACATGTAGTCTTAAATAGGATTTCTATGTGAGTCAATATAACCTAAATAACTTAACTCTATTGTTGACATATACCGTAAGATTTGGTTGGTCCAAGATATCCAGCATGACGCTTCCAAGACCTATGCTTCGAGTGCAAATTCTAGCTTCTACACAGAATGCATTGTCATGACCCTTTGAGCGCGTGTCTATGTGTGCTTCATATGCATTTATTTGCCGCTCATGTTCTTACAGTCGTCTCTGCTTACGCTAATCTCCATTGGTACATTTTCTCTTTGCTTCTTTACTTTTTTATTCTTTTTCTTGTGTAGGGCTGCTTGTCTTGGTACCCTTGCCCGTGCAATCATCTTATCCTTCATCCTTGTTTGAAACTTTGTTCATGACTACTATTGATTCTTTTGAGGTGGCCACCCATCTCACATTTTCTTTCTCCAAATTTTCTCACCCTCTCGGTCGTCAGTCTCTTTTTCTTCTTTCATCACTTCTGCTTATCTTCTCACATATTGCAGGTTACTCGTCTCGGTCTTCCTTTTATTTGCTTTCTATTTCTACGTAGTTGACTCCCTACTTAGGGACTCCTAGGATTTCTATGGTCTCCTTTTATCCTTTTTTGTATCCCCCTATTATTTTATTTATCGGTCATCTTGATTCCAATTTTCTTTGCTTTTGGCTATCAGGTTTTTTTTAGTCTTATTTAATCCTTCTTCGTTGCTCCTTGTTTTGGTCGCTCCAGTCATCTCTGAGTTTCTTTTTCTTTTTCTTGTACTTTTTGCTTTTTTGCCAATGGTGTGGGTGGCTTAAGGGTTTAGGGTCATTCAATTTTCTCTTATCTTTCATCAAGTTGAAGATTCTCATGCACACAAGCAAGCTCCATTTTTTCAAGACAAACCCTTGCATATTTTCACTGATGCTTAGATCTTTGAACTTACTCTACTATTCACTTTCACTATTGTTGATAGTTCTTTTTCTGTTGTCCCTATGTGGATATCATTCTCAAATTTATGTTGGAATACATGAATTTTTAGTTCGTCTCTTTTTTCATCATCGTCGATATTGATAGAATTTCTTCGAAGTCAAATTGCTCCAGGCTTTTTCTCGCTGCACGTCTTACATTAATAGCTTTTCTATGTGAATGCTGAAGTTGTCTTCCCCCAATCACCCCTATTTGGGTGGCTTTTGCAGGACACATTTACATTTTTTAAGCCATTCAACTTTATGTTTGTTGGGATGTATTTTTGACAAACTTTTGCAATTGATTCGGATACTGCAAGTCTCTTTAGGCATTTATTGATAAGAGTCCTGGTAAAATTGGATGTTACTTATCTACTCTTCATAAGTTGTTAGTAAGTTATGCTGTAGTTATTAGCTAGAGGTTAGATTTGAAGGCATCACTCAATATTGTTCTTTTTGTAAGATCTTCGGCTACATTCAATCTTACCACTTTAAGGTTCATTTGTTTATAAGAAAATCTTATGTTTATGATCATGAAGTTCACTCAAATGATCATGCCACTCCTTCAATGATTGTTGATTTTTCAGTAATTGAGTTTTTTTAAAACACAAAATCTGTTGCCAATTGATCATTTGGAAGCTGCATTTGAGTGCCCACTCTTACTATTTTTTCTGTCTTCAATTTCTGCGTCTCTTATAATTAATGTGAATATTGTTCCTCTTGCTTGTAGAAGTTCCTCTTGTATTGGTGAAGGCATACGTGCTTATATTCATTCTCTTCCTAATGCTGTTGGTTTTAGCCAGTGACGCTGTGTTGATGGATAGAATGTTTCACATCTTATTCCGTTTTAATAAGAAAAAAGTTATCATCACTGTATATTTTTAACCAAGCTTCTAGTTAAACTGGCCAATTGAACTTGTGCCCCATTATATGTTTATTTTTTCTTTGACAATTTTTGTTGATTGCTATTTTTGTGCTCCTATGTATGCTTATTATAAAATTATGTATTCGGTCTTGGTGGAATTGATCAAGTTGCCATTTGGGTTGAGTGGTCCCCTATTTGTTTTGAAATCCTCGTTGGTCAATTTGTGCTTTGCTATGTAATGAAATTATTATGGTTTTTTTTTTTCAAGATAAAAAAGCTGGGATCACGTTTTTCTTTTTGATAAATGTAGAGAGGAAAGATACAATATGAGGTTACTTTTTATGAATAATATTTTAAATGTTGATTGCAATCTAAAGGAAAAAGAATCTAAAATGCATAGTAAAAGTTTCTTATGATTATCGTGAAAACTTAGGTTTCTCACATCTTATATGGTTTTTGGCTTTTTTCCTTGCAAGCATAGATTAAGTAGGCTAGCGAGATGAGGTTAAACCAAATAATTTTCAAAGTGTTGACACCGGAGTTGACCCTACTCTCAATAGAGATGCAAATATTATTGCTGAAATTCAAATAGGTTATAACAAAGACTCTTCAAAATAGGAAGTAAGCGATAACAAATAGAAAAGACACTGGGTGAAGGCGAAAGGGGTGGAGGGCGGCTGGGCAGTAGATAGGGTTCAGATGGGGAGATTGCTATTAAGGTACGAGGGTGGAAGTAGGGGATTGGTAGCCACTGGAAGTTTCAAGCCCGGACCAAGCTTTCCAAAATGCGTCACGATATTTACGATTCCAACTTCATTTTCTCTATGGAGTTTTATATAATCAATACCATCCCCTAGCGAGCTCTCAAGCTTGCCTTCCCCCTTCTCTCTTCCCCTAATACTAGATAAACAAGCCCACACGAGAACATTGCTTCATGTGAACCGGCTTTCAAACCTAAGATTGAATTAGGTTCAAGTCTAATTTTAAGTCAGGCTCAAACCTATTTGAATCAATTTCAAGGATTTTGAGTTCAATAAATTGTCACAAATACAAAAGAAAAAAAAATCTCATTAAGACCAATTTCATTTAAAAAATAATTTTTTAATATATCTCTTGCAGCCGTTCATATTATGAGGCAAAACTGGTCAAATTTTCTTTTATAAGACTCGTGGATGCATATTACAGTTTTTCTTTGTGAACAAGATTGAATTAATTATAATTATATTTGAAAGATTTTTAAATATAATTATATTGTCTCTAGCTGAACTAGAGACATTTAGAGGTGAAATAAAGTTCTAACTCTATGTATATCTAGTAGTAGTAATTCCATTGGTGAGGATGCGAGAAAAGAATTTCGCTTTGAAGCTCTCCTTTTTAAGCACACGACTTTTGGAATGTCTAGAAGAATTAAGGAGATAGGATCAAGACGAGCAAATGGCGATAAGACTTTGCAATTTGGATTTCAAGCATTTGAAAAAGTTGTTTGAAAGCAGTATATAAAGACATATTCGAAAGTCATTTATATTTTTAAAATTTATTACAGACATAAATGCTTGCAATAGATTTTGATAAACACGGGCTTACTTGTATTCTTTATCCCTTTAATGAGATTGAAACAATTCAAATAAATTTTATCGAAAAAAATTTCTAAATTCTCTAGTTTTGAAATATTTCATCTTATTAATTTTACAAGCAGAAGAAGAATCATTAGAATTAATAGTCCTCTAAACCTATTAGATAAGCATAGAGATATTAAAAGATCTCAATTTAAGAATACCACAATTTTATTTATTTATTTATTTTTTTACACATTTTGCTCAAACTCGAGCATGTTGTATAAAAAATGATTTTATTTTTTTTGAATTAAATGAAAATATGACACTCAATAGGACACAATGAAGAACAAGGATTCATGTAGCCAACCACACTCAGTGGGATAAAGGTTTGTTGTTGTTGTACACATATTGCACATACTAAGCAGATGAGCCACCCCATCATTAGTATTATTCCTCAATTAAGTTTGTTTATTGAAGAAGTCAATTTATAAATAACTCAGGAAGGAATCCAAAAGTGAGAAATAATATAAATGAATAGGAGTGATAAAAGTTTTGATAGGACTCAATCTGATACACCTACTCCCGTAGATGGGAGAGTCGACCCTCTAGACAAGCCGTCGGTCCAAGGAAGATCGGCCTGGACCGGTCAGCTTGAGCCAAACCAGCCGGCCCAGCCTAGAGAGGCGGAATACCTAGAAGACGGTTGTAGCTTCCAGCAGCCGTTAATCACGTACAAGAAAAGGGGAGTTAGGGTGGTATTGGGGGAAAATTTTGAATAGATTTTTTGAGGGTGTTTATTAGGGCTAATTAGCTAGGTTTTGTTTTATGCTTTGATTGGCTGCCATTTTTCTTCTCTGTGTTCCTAGCAGCGTCTATGGTTTGTGTAGAAACGATCTACCTCTCAAATTGTAGATCATCCCTTGTATGTTATTATTTGCTATGATATGAATCAAATTAGCTCTATCTTGTGTTTTTCCACGTATCTATTGCAATATACTCGCTGATTTTGACTAAGATTCGTATAATGATCTCCCCCTCTAGACAAAATCCACCCTTCCAACTACTTTGGATTTTTTCAATGTCTTGATTCCAATATATTTTGCTCAAACTTGGGTATGCATGTAAAAAATGAAGTTTAGGTGTTAGATATGTACATACATAAGAATTGAGTGGTATGTATGCAAATATTTCTAAAAATTTTTGTGGTTTAATTTCTAAAATTCTTTCCTCAAAGTAATTCCAAATTAATGTTGTATTGATCATTTTTTATGCCATTTGGGTTTGATCTAGTTATTAAGTTAAAAACTAAATTTTTTTGCAGTTGACTTAAATTTGGTTATCAATTTGCTTTTCTTTTCAGATTTTGTCCATCCATGTTTCTTATTTGTTAATTTCCACTTTTTGTGGGGCTTTAAGCAGCATTTTCCATCACGCAGAAAAAAAGGCGCCAAAAGACAGCTGCATGGTGTAGAGAGAGAGTTTTGCAACTTGGACCTACTTTTATCAAGCTAGGCCAGTTGTCCTCAACAAGATCTGATTTGTTTCCTAAAGAGTTTGTTGATGAACTTGCCAAGTTGCAGGTATATTTTGAAGAAAGATTTTGAATTAACTTGCTTAAAGGCTGTGTAGATTCTTAATTTTTAATTTGATTGAAGAATTGTGGATCACAAAATGTACTAATTCTATTATTTTCTTTAATTTTTTTTAATTATTATGAATGATTTTTAACCTTTCCATTTCATTCCTGATTCACTTTGTACACTTTCATCTGTACAAAAAATCTCTGCTCTCTAGTCTGTGAAGAATTTGTTGTTTATTTCTTAGTTTGATTTTCCCTGCATGATGCAGGATAGAGTGCCGGCATTCTCACCTAAAAAAGCGAAAACATTCATAGAAAATGAGCTGGGTTTACCTGTTAATGTATTATTCAAGAAGTTTGAAGATAGGCCAATAGCTGCAGCCAGTCTTGGTCAGGTGTGATGTATGCAATATATGATTGTGCATTATCTATCAGCATATCAACTGGTTTATTTATGAAGATGCTAATATGGAGTCTTGCATATACTGGTATCTTACTCTGGGATAAGATAAACTTTGGAAACTACCTTTGATTATATACTGTTTCATTCTATAAAAAATGAATAAAAATAGAATAGAGAAGAAAATAAAAGAAAAGAAACTGTCTTTGACTTGTAGGAAATGGTTTTTTGTGTGACAATTTATCTTTCCTATTTCTAGCTTAGAAGGATTGAATGTGAACACGATTACTTTTAACTCTTGAAAGCAGTTTAGTATTTTGTGTGACTTGTAAATAAGCTTTCTCCTTTTCCTAACTTCAGGATTGAATGTGAGCATGCTTGGCTTTAGCTCATGAAAATAGGTGGAACGGAAGACAAACTTTATTTCTTGAAGTTATTGTAATTTTACATGCATTTGTTATCTACTCAGTAGTTATATTTTAACTGGGAAAACTGATCCGTTAGAAAATAAAAATCACAATATTATTGGAATTATATAATCCAATAGTCTGGTGAGCCTATTAGTTATTGGAAGATGGTATAGACTGCAAAATTTTTATACTTTCTTAGGCTAGGAATGTAAGTTTCTTATTCGTTGCTTGGAAGTTAGTTTTTTGATTTATGGTTGATTTAGAGTTTAAGACTATTTCTAGTCTGACTTGTTATAAGAGTGTAATTCCTTGGTACGATTTATTGATTAACTTTTTTCTAGCAGGCCTAAAAAATTCAGTCTCTATTCCTTAAGTTTACTGTTCTATCGAATTTCTCGGAGACATTCGGATTTTAGACAAGGCATTAGCTAGATATTTCATCTTCTTTGGAAGAAGGCTTTAATGTTTTGTTCTGATTATTCATAGTTGCAAGCATCTCTAATGAATTATCCCTCTCGATTACTAGATAACTCTTGATTAAGCCCAGTCATCAGCTAGTAAATATGTAGTGTTTAATAGCAACATTTTTATATTTTAGCTATAATAAATTTACTTCTACTGCTTAGAGTGGATGGTAGGGGATTTGTGATGATCCCGGTCAAAATTAAATGATTCCATCATCATAAGTTGGTGTTGAGTTTGATCTAGTTAGATTGAAGAGATGGTTAATCTAACATGATTGAATGATCATTGTCAATAATTGTAGGTTATATCTTCCAAAAGGGCTTTATAAATTTGAGGTAGATGTTTGTCTTATAGGAAAATTTAAGTTGACTTTAGTTGGTAGAGGGATTTGTACTCTATCAAGTGCACTTTATAGTTTATAAAAGGGATTTGGGCAATTGAGAATCTTATTGGCTCTGGTTGTGAACTAATTTAATGGTTTTATTTTGTGTTGAATCACCTAATCAAATTGCTCTGCTTATAATTTGTTTCTTTTCATGGTACCATTTGGCAATAAAATTACATGGTTAGAGAACACGTGTCATGCTTTTGGCATAAAATTTTTGAGAGCCATAGAAATAAATCATTTACTTGATATGAAATTAACCATTTGGAGGTTAAGTGTGTGTATTTTTTTTTTCTAGAAACACAATTTGCTTAGGTTTTATGTTTTTCCATTAGAGGATAAATATATGCAACACTTGATTAAATATTTATCCAAAGTTTGCAGTTTTTGTAGCTTGAGAAAAATCATTCGATCTCATCATACATTTAAAATAATTAAGCTATGATTATTATTCATTTATTTCAACAAAATTTCTTTTACATAAAATTACTCAAAACTAGTTTAATTAAAATAATTGTTTAAGCTTTATTAATTATTATTTATATTAGTCCTTGAGGGATTATATTGTTTTATGCTCTTTTGGTGTTATCTGTTGTTGAGTTCGCATTTATATATACAGGTGCATCAGGCCATCTTACATACCGGAGAGAATGTTATAATAAAAGTTCAGAGGCCCGGTCTCAAGAGGCTTTTTGACATCGATTTAAGTAAGAAATGTGGATTTACTTGTATTATTCATGCCATTCCATGAAATATTTCAGCACTTATATCGATAACTTTATAGCCCTTTTTAATATATTGTTTGTTTTATTTCTCAGCTCTCTCTTCTTGGTGCTGTAGGATATACTTATAACATAGAATTTTTAATGTAGATATAATATTTGATGCAAAAAATCATGATAAATTGACAATTATTGAATTTATTAATATTAACTAGTTATTAGCTACATTTGATGAAAATAAAAACATAATTGTTGAAAAATATAATGGCCTTATACTGGAAATTAAATTTCAAGAAAACCACAAAATTTTTAAAATTTTGCTCTTCATGATGTTAATTGTAATAAATTTAACTTAACCCAATAATTCTTTCTCATCAATAACAAAACATTCTAGAAAAATATAGACTAGGAAGAATTCACCAGAAAGCAAGCTTCATGCTTGGACATGGAGATAGCATCTTTTGGAATTCATTATATCTCACTCATTTAATATTCAAAATATTGGAATAGTTTAAGGAGAGTTTTCATGTGAATGAATAGAATTTTATTCATGCCGTAAAATTTCATGTCATAACATTCTTAAATGTTTTAAAACTCTTATATTCATTGATGGAAAACATGCACTGATGCCGGTGCAGCCCTAGTGCCTGATTGCGGCGCTTGTTCCATTGGACGGGAGGTCCACGACTCTTCCCGGTTACTGTAGACAGGGCGGGATTGCAATCCTCTCGCAATATGCCACAATCCTTCGTGAATTGAGGGGAGGGCGACACCTGTTGGAGTTTTGGGAAGGGCTTTTTTGGATCATTCTCGCCTCTTTTGTGTAGAAGTTTCTTGGGAGGCTGTAAATAACTATCCGTGGCTTGTGAAGGTTCAGTTTTTAGTGTGTTTAGTTACAAATCTCCTGTGTGGAGTCTATTTCTCTTTGTGGGTTGTATCCAAGGAGTGGTGGTGCTTTGGTTGTATCTTCTCTGAGGTGATGATTGTATACTCCCTTTTTACCTTCACCGAACCTTCTTCTCCCCCACTCCTCTGTCATCCCAACACCCAACCATCCCCCTTTCTGTAGATTACTACTGTTTTCCCGCCTTTCTAACTTCTTTCAAGCTCCTCCCAACCACCCCACTACCGCTGCCAACCACATACAACCCTTCCCACTTATTGTCCCTATAGTTCAACACCTTTCCTTCACTACCACCCACCTTTGCGCGACTTCCATCATCCCTCCTAATCATTCCTATCCCTCTAGCCGACCTCCACCTCCCATTGGAATACATTTAGGAGTGTATGCTTGTATCATTTTATTTTTGTATTGCTATTTTGTGTTCGAGTCATGTTGTAACAATATTTTAATATTAGTGAAAGTTTACTTTTGTGTTTTGGTATCAAAACATGGCTAGCGCAGCCCTAGTCCTATTCTGGGTTCCCTAGCATCCACGCCTGCCCAATCCACCTCCATCAATTTTTTTCTTCCAATTCTCAACTCTGGTCATTGCCATCGAGGAGAGATATTTCAGGCTCTATTTGGAAAGAGATCTAACATGAAATTTGTCTTTTGCAACGTAAACTAACCAAGCTAGATGACGGGAACCAAGAAGAGAATACCTTTGACTCTGATCGAGAGAGTCCTGGGAAGACAAATGAGGATCTTAATCCGTTCCACAGGGAAGGCCATAACGACGAAAAATATCAGTCATGCTGTTTTGGTATCCAATATCAAAGGATGCCGAGAACGGCTCCTTATGGAGGTTACGGCTTTGGCATCAAGATTTACCTTCCAAAATTTGAAGGAAGTATGGATCTTGATGGATTTTTTGACTGGCTACAATTCGTTGAATGAATTTTCGAATATGAAGATGTACCAGAAGACAAACGGGTCAAGCTAGCCGCTACTAAGCTAAAGAAGAGAGCTTCTCTATGGTGGGAAAATGTGCTGAGACAAAGGAAGAGGGAAAGCAGTGAAAATATTACTAAATAGGAGAAGATGAAAAAAGTAATTAAGAAAAAGTAACTTCCACCCCACTATCGCCAGGATATGTTTCTAAAACTCCACAACTTGCAACAGAGGCATTTCAGTTGAAGAGATCATTGCCCAATTCGACCACTTGCAGATGAAATGCGAGCTGAGGAACATACAAAGGCTAGATATCTCTAGGGTTTGAAACTCGCCATCAACAATGTGGTACAGTTGCAGCCATACTGGACGCTAGGGGGTCCAGACATTAGTCTTGAAGATAGAAATACAACAAAATCAGAGTCCACAATAATCATCTTTCAAGAAGTGACCTCGAGGCAGGCTGTCACCTACAATTAACATGACCAACAGGGATCTCTCAAGAGACACAAGCAAGCCCAGACAAGGGAATGACACTACAGATCAAAGAGGGAAAAAACTGGAGAAGGGAAACTCCTCCAGCATGGTGCCGATCAGGAAGTGCTACCGATGCCACAACTATAACCACATTGCATCCAACTACCCCATGAGCAGGGTAATCACACTCACAGATCAAGGAGCTATAGAAGAAATTAGCAATGAAGAGAAAACCGAGGAACAAGATGAGGAGTATTAGCTTCCCTAGATGAAGGAGAGGCGCTTATAATTTGAAGATTGCTATAAACTGAGGACACAAGGGATTCGCAGTTGCTTTGCCACAACGTATTCTGCACCCGTTGCACAGTGAACGGAAATGTATGCAGTCTCATCATCGACAGCGGAAGCAGCAAGAATGTGGCATTGACACAGATGGTAAAGAAATTAGGACTTTTGACTCAGAGACATTTCCAACCATATTCACTGACATGGATGAAAGAGAATTAGGTCAACATCGATCGAAGATGCTTGGTAGAATTTTCGATCGGAGGCCAGCTGCATGACTAGGTGTTGTGTGGCGTGGTTCCTATGGATGCCTGTCACCTCTTGTTGGGATGACCGTGGCAATTTGACCGAAGGACTTAACATGATGGATATAAAAACACATATTCTCTCACCAAGGATGAGAAGCGCATCACCCTCCTTCCTTCGACATAGTTCTAGGTCACAAAATCTCTTTTCTGCAGAACAACATTAATGGAATCAGGGTTTAGGAGTTTTGTGTTTTTGTTAGACGAGAGGACCAAGACACCCGCCCTCGATACAGGACAGATACGACCTTGAGTATGTCACGACGATGCTGCACTAGTTGCACTACCGCGGTGTTGTAAGGGTCCGATTACTATCACTACACGTTCGATTGAACCGATCATATGTTACTTTTGGAAGATTTACCAGCATAGGCGTGGTACACCGCCCTAGAAGTGCAGATCGATATGGGCATCTGCTCACAAGCTAGGGAAGGCCCTCAAACATCTCGGGCATTAGTATAATCTCCAATGGGAACCAGGGTGACTGATAACGAAATAGAAGCTTTAACCAATGAAGTCGAAGCTCCCCCAACCCCCAGGAGACTGATGTGGGTGTTGCATTAGAGCTTGATGTGGGTGTTGCATTAGAGCTTGATGTGGGCACCAAAAGCTTCCGATGCTGGTGCTTATTTCCGCAAGATGGGAGGCCCGCGACTCGAGGGGTACTGTGGATAAGGTCGGATTGTGATTTTCTCCCGATGTCCTGTGATCCTTCGCGAACTGAGGGGAGGGCGGCGCCACTAGGATTTTTGTGTTTTTGTTGCTATTTTCTATTTAAGTCATATTGTAACCTTATTTTAATATTAATGAAAGTTTATTTTTTGTGTTTCCACTATTTATTCTACTAGTTCCGGTATCATTCACCCCTAGTAACAAATTCCTTACAAAATATTAAGAAACCTTTACTTCACCGTTAGCAGGCTCTCACTGAATTGCTAATCAACTCCTAACAAAATAAACAAATTGCTTACAGACTTACAACTATTGATTAGAATAACCTTAACATAATAATGACCTTTAAACTACTTGCAATAACTTGAACTTACATGACAAGAAATATGTGAAATTTTTATCTATATCAAGTTTGATGGGTGTAAAAAAATTTTGCTTCAAGGAATTGTTTTGCTGATTGTCTTTCAATAGATCTAGTCATCATTGTTTAAATTAATTTTGAAGCACTCATAAATCATTAGCTTGTAGGTCTATCTTATCATTTTGTATGATACATTTGGTATATGTGATTAAGGGCGCACACAGTTTCATAGTCGGTAATAATTTTAGAAATGATATTAGTTTGAATTGTAGGAATTGTGAAATTGATATGTGAAAAATGAAGCACATGGAAGAGAGAAGACATGAAGGAATTAATTGATTTTTAAGATATAAATTCCATTCAAATATATTAAAACGTAGATTTATCTCAATTCACTTTATATTATCCCTTTTTACAGCTATTAATTTCTCATATTGTATCATTTTCTCCCATTCAAGGTTTTGGTGGATGTAGGATTTCAAATCAAGGTTGGCCATGGGAGCTTAGTTTGTTGGTAGGTCTTAAGGCAGATTTTTAAGAATTTTGGGTTAGGACTGGTCGTTGTAGTAGGAATGGTTAGGGGATGTGAGAGATTTTTTTCCTTTTAATTTTGATTTGGGACAAGAAAGACAAATATTTAAAAATTTAGTGTTTATCTACTTTGTTACAAGATGATATCATTATAGGGATTTAAGAAGCAGGTTTAGTGGGGAGATAGTTGTGGAATGGGACGAGGAGGATAGGGGTGGTCGGCGACATTTGGAAGGAAATAGGTGGCAAAATTTGCTGTTGGACAGCCGATTCGAGCGGTTTAATTGCTGTTCGGAGTGAAAACAACGGGTTTGCGGTGAAAAGGCGAGGTGCAGGCGCAAGGGGGATCTGCCACCTGTTCTCGAGCAAGATACAAACACATCATTTGTAAAATGAAGATGATGCAATCCTCAGAGCATTGACCATTTATTACAATCTCTGCAATATTTAAAAACCAAACTAGCTCTCTCAAATTAGCAAAATACAAAATATATGAGTTTGCCAATATAAAATTAACTTAATTAGAAATGAAGAATCGTAAAAAGTCCAGAGGGAAGAAAATCGGGTTAAAATAAAAAAGCGGTCGGCTTTTACTGTTCGACATTGTGGGATTCCGCGATCGTGCGTAATTGAGCTGAATCAAGCGATTCGTGAGCTCTCATGTGAAATGGCTTCATGTTTTTTTTTGGGAGATGATGATATCGGAGTTCATCCAAACCACAATAAAAATCCAAATTTTATTGTTGAAATTTAATAGGGTTACAAACAACGACTCTTGACAATGAAAAATAACGACACAACATAAAAGGACACTCTAAGGCGATGTTGAGGGTGGTGGTTGGCGACTGGACAACAAGTAGTGGTCGGACTGGCGGTGGTTGTGAAGGAAAGAGAGTTGGAAGTGGGTTTTGGCAGCACTTGGAAAGCTGGTGCAAGGAGTTGGGGGCTTGCTGCTAGGTTGGAGTGGCCGCAATAGTTCTAGGATGCTTTAGTGGAATTTATGGCAGTTATGGGAGGGAAGGTAGGGCGGCAGTGGGGAGTTGCTACTATTGGGTTTTCAAAAGGGGAGGGGAATCAGGCGAAGAGAGGATGGACAGTAGTGCGGCCTTGGTGTGGCAGCAGAGGATGTGGTAGGGAGCGGGATCAGAGGGGGGAGAGGCGGCACAGTAGTGGGCTTTGGGTTGGAGGCAGGAGAAGCGCAGGGAGAGGGGTTGTAGGCGGCAGAACAATGAATAAGGGTAGGCAACGGATTGAGGAGAGGATGACCACCTCGGAGCAAGGCACAGTCTGAGCACCACTTGTTCTCGGATACAACCCCAACAAGGAAAAAAGCCTCCAAGCAATAATTTGAAATAAAACAAACATCACATAACCCTAACTCAACAAATATACATAAATAAAGGATAGTGGGCGGTAAATCCCGCTCCCCATGGAGGGTCTGTCCAACCTCCTGTTGGACCGGGACCCAGTGTTGGCCGGTTCAGCCGGCCGTCCAGCCCCACGGAAGATGATTTGACAAAGCTAATAAGTTCTTTTAAGGTACAATTGTGTAGCTTTGGATAGGAGCTTTGATGAAAAGGAGGGGCCTTGTGAACTCCATCCTTTTCATAGCTCCAAGGGTGCAATAGGAATGATTCTTCTTTTTTGAGGACGAGGATGCTTCTCTTGTGATTGCAGAAATGTGATGGAAAAAAAGAATTGACGGTTCCTCTTTGAGAATTGCTTTTTTTTTTCTTTTATAACACAATATGCTCTTTCTTTGGAGAAAAGGGTATCAAGTTTAGCTATTAATGCATTAAAACAATAAAAAAGTGCTACTAATGCATTGAAACAATAAGAAAGTGCTTTGAAATGTAATGTATGTCCAAACATTAAAATGAGCTCAAAATGAACAAATATAAGTGAATGAGTGGAACATACATATATAATATCTATATACGTGCATATGTATATATTTCTTATATTCATGCATTTTATTTTAATAGTATTTTCTTCTTTTGCCTATTTTTAAATGGTATTTAGGTTCGTTTATTTTTGTTGATTTGAGCCAAGTCGAGCTATTCAAACTAGTTCAAGGCGTAAAACGGATTTGAGTCAACCATATTGGACCTACGATGATATTGTATGAATGTAAAGATTTCTATAATATTCCATCCTCATTTTCTTGCAGATAAGTGTCACGATTATTATAAATAAGTCTAAATAAAAATGAAAATTACAGGGTTCCTTAGAAGTCTAAAAATGACAAGTATCAAAAGAAAATAAAGAAAAATGCTAATTAACTGCTAAAATAAGCTAATTGGCATTTTGGTTTATATGCAATTGAGTTTGAAGCGTGATTTGGATTGAGACTTTTTCTGGTTGACTTGCTCCAAATTTTTTCTTCTATTCATTATTAGGATAAAAGCTTGAACATGGTTGTTTAACACTGAAAAGACTTGTGATTAAGAATCAAATATTTCCATAAAAATCCGACCAATTATAAACTTAATCAGTAGTAGAAAGATTTCGATTTACTTGATGATACACTATTCTCTTAGCTTTAGTACTGGTCGATTGCCGCTGAATCTTGTCTATATGAGCAATGCTTGGGAATGGTACTATGAACTCCACATTATAATTGTTATTTGCTCCATCCATCCTTCATAGTAATTTGTTGTTCTACTACAAAACAACTAAAAATTCCCATAGCCTGCAATTGCCATACTAACCTTGGCATTTGATGAAATTTTTGTTCGCAAACTTTTAAAGGTATAATGCATAGACTATGCAATTTTGGAATGTGTGTGTGTCTGCATATATGCATCTACATATACATAGATATTTATTCACCATCTACATCCCTAACTAAGAAAAGAAAAACATAGTGTTCCGCCAGAGGCAGCTATTTCATCTTCTCCTGATCAGCTCCAATTTATTGGCACTATTAATCATCAAAAGAATACCCCGGATGACGTCACTATTCTCACAGGCAATATGACAATTATTTAGTTCGCAGTTGTAGCTCCTCCGTCTTTGGAACCTCCAATAGTGGGGGAGAGGGTGAGTCTTTTGACCCCACCTGCCCTAGATATCACTGATAATTCATGTGACAATTCTTCTACTGCTTCACTACCGTCTCATCAGGTCGAGCAAGCTGTTAATGTTACTCAGGCTCATGCGGATCGTGATGTGCAACAACCTACACATGTCCGACCAACGTTGGAATCTACTGATCATATGAGTCAATCATCGAATGAGGAATGACAGGTCTACTCATCCAGGAGGAAGAAGAAGAATGAACTTGAGCTTAGAAATCTGATGGATGATACTTTACTTACTACAGGCAATGGTACTCACCTTTCCAATTTGTTAGCCTGCTCACTTCCAAGAACTAGAGGCAGAGGGAGGACTAAAGTGTGACGTCCCAAACACTTTTTGCGCCCTTTTGTGGTCGCCATTTGGTGGCTTTTTTGATTTTTTACCTTTTTGTATCTTTGTTTTATTTGGATTTTGTGTGCGTTGTATTGTGCGAGTTGGGCTTTCTTTTAAGCCCATTCATACAACCTTTCTGTATATTTTCCGCTTTAATATATTATCCATTGGGCTTTTTGGCCAGAGGCTATTAGACGAGTCTCCAACCACCCCTTATGTGCCTAATAATTCTAGTACCACCTCCTTAAGGCTAACTGTGCCAGAGGGGATTCGAACTCTCGACCTGAGGGGTCTTATACCGTGGATGCCAACCAACAGGCCGGGGTACGCGCACGCGCGCACACACACACATATATATATAGGCGTGTCCATTTAACCATCCTTGTTTAATTTTATTAGCTATATCTTTTATAGATACAAAAAATCCAATGGCATGTAGTGCTATTACTGGTATAGTATGAAGATTCTTTTCTCTATTAGATATCTTCTAATTTAATAGCATTTTTCAATATATATGATAAATATTTAAGAGCCAGGCAAATCTCATCTGATAAGCCTCCACATATCATGGTAAAAGAAATAGTTTTGCTAATAGTGCTTTATTTTTTGGATGTTCTATGATTAAGTACATGGATTTCTGAACAGTATGAATATCTTTGTAATTTTTTTTTTGGATTTTTTCATCCATCATTGTCAGAATTTTGAGAACAAAAAATATAAAAAAATTATCAATGAGATTTGTAGTTTGTCATATTTTTAAAATAAAGAACTTTTCGTGTAACTTTCTAGGTACAACTGAAACTGGCTCACATGTTTTTGTGTTTGTAGCATTTTTAGCTGCTTTCTTATTGCCATCTTGTAATCGTACCATGCATGTTAGATCCTGATTTTTATTTTTCAAATCAGGGAACTTAAAACTATTAGCTGAGTATTTTCAGAAAAGCGAGACATTTGGAGGACCCACAAGGGATTGGATTGGTATCTATGAGGAGTGTTCCAAGTAACCACTTCACTATATTCTTGCTCTTCGATCCTTTTTTTATTTAATTTATGTCAAGTAATTCTATAATATCCTCAGTTCTTATAATTTTTTAGCATCCCAATTTCGTTAGTTCGTAGTATATTACGTGAATATCTTAGCTGAATATTGGTATTCCCCTTCTTGATTTCTCAAGCACCTTGTTGCATTTTTGCAACAATGAAATACTTATCATTATACTCTTGAATTTGATTATGAACATATTCATGTAATGTGGCTTGCAAATGATGCAAGGAATACTATATATAAGCTTTCTAGGGTCTATGCCATGAAAAAAATTGAATTATCTTTTGTTGAACTTATAACGCTGTTGAGTGCATTACTCAACAGTAGGTACTCGGTTTCATATATTTTCATAATTAGGAATCATTTATGCTTTCTTAAGCATTTGTTTACTTCTTTTGCTGATCATTAACCTATAGATGGTAGACTGAAGATAGTTTCACATTACAACCATTTTTTGTATTCCTTAGGAAATCTTGTTGTGCAATAATTTCCTTAAAGAAAAGCTTGGCTACAAAGGCTGAATTTGTAGTCTTTTAGAATTGTAAGATAGCGAGTCCTTTTGAAAAATTAATCAGCTACAACCAAAAGTTATCATGCCCTTGAGAAGTTTTTGGTACTCCTAAAGCAGAATTCATGCTAAGATCAGCTTCTTTTATCGAAGGAATAACAAAAGTAGCGTATATTTCAATTCCAGTTTTTCCATTTATATGCACATTGTGAATCAACAACCACATTGATATGTGGTTAGCTAAAGAAAATGGAAGGAGTGTTGCAATGTAAAGCTTCAAGCATGTTAATATAAAGGCCTAAGTGGCCATGGGCCATTTAATTCAAACTAGATCAATATGGATTTGTCTTGGGCCCGTTTCATGCATTTTTATTCCCATTTATGTTTATGAAATTATTTTTTTTTTAATTTTAAAATTTAGGCTATTTTATTAGGTTTTATATTCTCTTGCATTAAATTTAAATTTTTTTTGGGATTATATAATGTTGATGTTAAAAAACAAATTATCATTAAAAGTTATTAATTAAATTAATTAACTTAATATATTTTTAGTTAGGTTAATTTATTGTTTGCGCGAGTCATTGTTTTTCTCTAGCTCGCCGATAACATGTATGACGATGTGACTGTCGGTGATTGGTCGTCCGATTGCGCTTTGTCCAGACAGAAATTATTGCATTAGGAGTCCTAATACAGTTTTACATTAAGACTCCAATTAAGACTTGCCCCCAATTAACAGACAGACCCCATACATGAGTGAGCCTTCGGTACTCAGTGTAGAGGCAGACCTTCGAGACTCTTGTCTTTCTGGTTGTCCATCTCCTTCCCCGTGCTCTTCTTCACCCTCCTGGAATCAAAGTTTTCTTGGGTGATTCTCGTAGCTAGTGGCAGTGAAGGTTGACGAAAAAGAAGTGACGAGATCGCACCGTATGGGACTTTCGAAGCTCCTTAAAAGTTCAAACGACGGAGAAGGCTTCCTAGACACACGATAGGAGCACAGGATGTAGAGGCCTATGTAACTCCTCTTCGTTCGCATACTAAGTCTCCTTCACGTGACGCCGACGACGAAAATCCTCTCCTCTACCTGATTTGATTCACCACTAACACTCTGTCACTTGCATCCAATTCTCCCCTCTCACTCCTGTCGGTGATTCTTGTCGACCCGTCTCTTGCCCAAAATTCAGTACGATATGGTTGGGATTATCGCTAATCGAGCACACTGAGACTCGGAACTCCCTCACTCCCGTCGGCAACCCTTGACGCCTTCCTTCTTCGCTCAACCAGAACGTCTCTCCTCTGCGTTCCCTCTCTGTCGCGCATCCTAAGCCTCTTGATCCTCTGCCCTAAAGCCCGAGCCGCTCCGCCTCCATGCCAATCATCCACTTCCTTATTCTGTCTAAACCGAATCCTTGCTATTGTGTAACGGAGCCCAATTTAACCCAAATCGAGCCATTTTACTGTTTATCTTGTTTATTATTATTATTTTTGTTATTATTGTTGTTGTTGTTGTGTATTAAAAAAAGAAAGAAATATCAGTGTTGTACTTTTATTTTCGTCGTCACCGTTAACGCCTTTGGGCTCGAAAGTTATAACATGAACACATTGGGGCAATAGAGTCATTTTTGAAAATCTCTATTCAAGAAGATCACAAGTACCTGTCCGTGGGAATTAATTACAGTTCGGGGAAATCACGAACTCCTTCAGAGAACATTTTTTTAAATTGTGATTTTAAAATACCCATCATTGGGATACATGAGTATCTGTTTGTGAGAATTAAGTATCGTTCGGGGAAAATAAAATACCGTTCAGGTAACTCTGTTTGCAATCTAACTTTTTTTATAGGTATATTGAAGACCCGTTGCATCTTTTGAGATCGCGGGTTAAATGTTGCAATCTAATGGCCGAAGAGTCTTACGACACTGACCAATGAGTCTTTTGAGATAACTTGAAATGTTGGTATTCTCCCGTATCCCTTAAAGAGGGCCTGCAGTCTGCCAAACTTTTTGGTCATTTGAAATTGTAATGAATTTAAAGTATGTGAAATTTTTAATAAAATAAAATGTGACATTTAAATTTTAAAATGATTTGGAAACTCCAACTTTTAAAATTTAGTCTCTTAAGGTTGAAAATATCTGGGACCTTGGCTTTAACTATTTAGGCTCTTAGGATTTTACAATTTTATATTTGGATTTTAAAAATATAAGTTTAAGACATAAAAATAATTTGAAAGCGAGCTTTTCAAACTTAGGTTCCTGGGGGATGAAAAATAATTCAAATATGTGGCTTTTTGAAACTTTAAAATTTCCCCAACGGATTTACAACACATTTGTAAGCGAACAGAAGGTGGTTCTTCTTAAAGCTGAAAAATGTATATCTGCATGCACTACAATAAAGATACTGTTTCAACTCAAAAGATATGTTTTGAAAATATATACAAGTACAATATTTCAAGTAATTATGCAAGTATTGTCAGTTTTATGCAAATGGCTAAAACATCACATTATACTTTGAAAGCCATAAAGTATTATGATTATATATGTGCATAATCTTGAAATTTTATGCTCGCATTTGCTTCAATCAATGCATTGAATGCTCAAATATTAGGTTTAAGAATGTTGTGTAAGCTAATCTGGCCGCTTTGTGTTGTAAGTCCCACCCGACTAGTTCGATCCTTCTCGCAAGGACTGGAGTTGACAAGTCTAGTAATTTCGAAATAAACGCCCAAATCATAAAGATAAAAATTTATAAGTCCAAATTACCTTGTCTGATTTCCTCCTTGTAAGGATAAAAGTCTTTAACACATATACCCTAAAAGTCTAAACTAACAAAATTAAATATCCCTTTTAAATATTAAAGTTTAAAATACTTCTCCCAAATAATGACCTAGTTGATAGAAGATTTCAACCAGAGAGGTATATTTTAAAAATTAAATTTGAAAATCAATTTATATTAATTAAAATGATATATATGAACCCAATCCCTTGTAAGCAATGCTGAGTTGACAAGGTTCATATATATCTGTCTGTCAATAATAAATCAAATCTTGTATAAGCAAGATTTAAAGTTGACAAAGTTCGAATAAAGCAACTAAATCCTCGATGATGGCTGAATTGATAGAAAATTTAACTTGAGGGATCTGTTTTCAAAGATAAACTTTCCCCGATGATAAACTTTCTCCGATGATGTTCGAGTTGATTGAAGATTTTAACTGGAGGGGTTAACTTTTAAACCAATTTTCTAATCCAATTCTCAAAATAATAAATCAAGGCATTCAAATTAAGATCAACCATCTAAAGACTCAAAAGCAAATAAATAAGATCCTCTAAGCAAAATTCAATCACTTGAAAGTTAAAAACAAAATTCATCCATCCTCGAAAATAGTATGTTGAGGGTGACAATTTTTTGGCTAACTTTAGCTGACAAAAAACTAATGTAATATTGAATGTATCATTATATTCATAATTAAAATAATCACATACCGTTAAGGACGTAGTTCGAACCCTCTGTCTGTGTGGTTTCGCCGTCAAATGACAACACAAAATAGCGGTTAGGACTAGGGTCCTCTGACCGGGTGGTTACCGCCAAATACACTATTATATTTCGGTTATGGTCACAAGCACGGCTTATATGTTCCTCAAATGGCTTGTTACTCTTTGGGTTTTGAACCATAAGGGTACAATTGATTGGTACAAAGTCTTCTGTTAACTAGGTTGACTTAATCTTGTACGCTTAGACAAATATCCACTCCAGATCGACAAGGATACCTTGGCGACGCAACTCATGGTTGATGACAAAGATTCTTCAGTCAGTTTGTGTTGAATACCTCATCTGACCAAGTAGATTAAAAACTACGACGACTTAGGATAATAGAATCATGAGATCTTGATCGGATTTTGTCTTCATTCCCCACTATCTACTTTAAGTTTCAAGTGATAAATTTTACAACTTAAATTAGAAGTCTGCTGCTATTATACGTTGAATATTCAATTCTTAATGATTAACTTTAATTGAAAGTGCTCTCTCGTTATCAGGAGGGGTAATTAACAATACGGGTATGCGCCTATGGGAAACCTCGAAACCCAGATCAAAAAGTCCTCGCAAAATGAGGGCGATTATGTTTAGGTAGTGTCTTATCTACAATTAAATCAGTCTTTTGAAAATTTGATCCCCCAAAGCTCTTCAACCAAAAAAAAAAAGAACTTAATGCAGAGAGTCTCTGGGATTGGTTGGAATTTTTGGAGCCCACATACAAGATTATATCTACATTTGAATATTTTGTATTCTCTTTTAAATCTAATCTCTATAAATAGGGATCTATGATTGTTGTCCCATTATTATTAAAGAAAAAGACGTACTTGATAGCCACGCTCATAATTTCTTCTCTCTGCCATGCTTTGTCGTTCACTCTCTGTCTTCTTCTCATTCGCTCTGCCTTTCCTTTTCTTCTGCC